CTTAAATGAGCACCATATAATCACACCCATGTTAGGTTATTTATGCATTATACCAAAGTGGGGCTTGCGACCCTGATCAATGTTAAGTAGTCCTTTATTTTAATTAAAAATATACTTCATTACTTAAATGACACAGCAGTAATGACGCCAGCCGCAATCAATAGGGAAGTCACTTGTGATACGTGCGGGTGCGGATGATTTAAAGTCCAGTGCATTGACAGTATAGCCTTGTGCCTCCTAAGTACTGATAGCAATTAATAAAGCAGTTTATGATGCGGACAGAGATAAGAGGGAGCAGGTTCATTTAATTATGTTTACAAAGAGGTTTTTTTGTCTAAACCAATAATCCATAATGACATCATGTGGGTAAGATTATGATAATTGTGTTAGTTGTGATATTTAATAGACAGCTTAACTGTGCATGATTGAGCTCTGGCCGTTTAATACAGATGTATGAGACTTTATTCCTGCCTAGTTGTGCTGTTGGTCATATTGCCAAGAGTCGGTTAAGCAGAAGGCAACATAATTGACCTTTTCATTACTTTAGCATGAATAAACTCACATTGAACACAGTTTACCCTCTGTTATCACTTTGCATAGAACAATCTAACTCAATATGCCTGAGTAAATTAATTTTGCACGTATTTTTTTGGGGCCAAGCCCGAGCAGCAAAGTATTTCCTCTCACAATCACTTCAGTTTAACTGACCACTAACAGCATCCTCTAATTACAAAATAGAGTACCCCTTCATTCGGTTTTATGACACATATCACCAGTGGAAATCTCATAAAACATGGAAAGAAAAACATTTGGACTGATTCCAAAATGGCTATAGATCCAATGAGGTCGTCACTGTGGTGAACATAGAGCCATTTGTGGGCTGGGTTTTTGTCAGACTGTGACTAACTGTGATTCAGGAAAGGGTGCGTAATGATTCAGAGGTGAGTTGTGAAACTGTCAACATTCAGGGTTTTTTTCCCACAAACTTTCAAAGCATATGACATATTCCTACCATGCTACAGTGCTACTGCCTACATCAGCATCTACGTGTTAAGTGTTTTACCATTTGTCCAATGTTGTGTATTACCCCTTCCTGCTGATTTGTCGGCCCTAGTAGTTACACTGGTTTGTGGGTTACGCATGCCAGTCAAATGAAACTGTAGGTTGAAATCAGAGAAGCACAGATTACATCATGTTCACATCATTGAGCAATGAGTAAGGGATGGGATAAACAGTACAGTACAAAATGAATTTTTCATTTGACTAGTGGGCTGGATTACCTCATGAGGCTATTTTAGGCATAGTTATTTTAAAGAATAACTAACTTCCCCTCACCTCAGTAGTAGTAAAGTGGGGATGTAATACGTTTCCCCCTCATTTAAAATCCGCTTATTTCAAAGGCTGAAAGATATCTCTATCTGTACAGGCTTTTGATGCAGAGTGGCTTCCCTCTTACCTAGCACAGACAGGCACGAGGCTACTGCTTAACTGGCACCAGAACAAAGCCCTCTAACAGCTGCTTGATAATGTGCAACCATTAATTACATTCTGATGCCTCAAGTCTGCCCTGTGTCGCTGAGCAGAGAACCCTCGCTTTGCCGAGCATGGAGCAATTATGTAAGAATGCGTTGCACAATGTTAACCAGACACAACACTGAACGTACTAAATAATGATAGGCCTACTCTTTCGCACTTTTCCATAATCCGGCCCTGGCTCTCATTGAGGACATTAATTAATATTTTGTGAGTTGAATTGAGTCTTTGATAAGCCATTGTACTATGTAATTGTGCTTATCTGGTTTCTATTACTTATGATATCGAAAACAAGGATGTAAAGTAGCCTTCTATTTGCAATCAACAGAGGAGATGTTCTGATCTTTAAAGTCTCTGCTGAGTCAATTTAGTATTTGTGTCACGTTAGGAGCAGAGCCTCAGATAGCCTAAGTATAGTGTGACATTTAGTGGATCCCATGAGACAAATGTATAAACAAATATTCAGAGGTCAAGATGTTTGGCGTGTTTCCATTCTCTATTACTCAACGACATGCTGTTGAGAAAGGTCTACACATGTGTGTAGTGCTATCTTTTGCAGAAAGACAAACATACTTCGTCACTCTCATTTAGGCTCCCACTTTAACCGCATGGCATTGGGTTGCTTGAGTGCTGATAATGAGCTGCAGTACAGTGAAGCATTTATCATTCACCCTGGCAACTGTGGGCTGCAATTGAGAAACGTCTGCTTCGGCCAAAAGAAGATTAACATGTACTGACCCACAGTGCTGGACTTTCTGTTATGTCAATACTGGCCGACCTGGAAATAGAAGTCAATGCAAACTTGCACATTGACTCGGTCAGCTGTTGAGTTCTCAATCATCACTGTGACCCGGTTCCTGTAAAATTAAGTTATTTTCCGTATAAATACTTTTATGGATAATCTTTTGACTTATATGACTTTAAATCCAAAGATTGTGCTCGTGAGTTATGACTTTAAAAGTCAGAAATAAATGGTTCTTGTATGTTTCACTTTTCTTCCCTGAACGTTATAAATGTCAAGAAATGCAGTGGGAAGATCTTGAGCTGCCCACTGGTAAACTGTGAACCATGGGACCTTAGATTGTTGGTCCCATGGGTATCCCAGCACATACAGGTATCAGTCTGACCTCGAATCCAATTATTTCCACCCTAATGGACATTATTCATTAATATTCTAAAAAGGAATTGAAAGTAATGGAACTGCTGGGGCTAAGGCGGGTAAGGTATTGTATCTTTTTCTCAAAAAATAAATACTCCAACTGTTCACCATTTAGCTTTGGTTTATGCTTTACAGCCTCTACTCTCCACCTCAAATTGATGCAGGTTTAATAAAAGATCACATGAAGCTGAGCTTTGTAGAATATTATGTTCCTTTCGTCTCACGAACCGCTGTCTTTGCATTACCTGGGGGGAAAACAAGCAGTTCTTTTGTACTTCATAAAACTAAAAAGCTGCATTGCTCTGCCCCAGGTAAGTAGAAAACAATTTATTTGTTATTGTGATGCTATGAACTATTTATTGTGTAAATTGGAATTATCCACATCTGTGCTCCCGGGTGTATCTGTGTGTTTTCTTCCTGTATGTTCCTGCCTGTGTACATGACATAAACTGCTCATAACCAAATGCCCCTTGCAGGATTAATAAAGTTGTTGATTGATTGATGGATTGATGGATTGATTGATTGATTGATTGATTGATTGAGATGCAGTGGTGTTGTATGACTTGTCTTTGTATGGTGTGAAAGGCTGATGCTGCAGTGTCATAGCACAATGAAGAACAGAAAGCAGCTACCAAGAATATAAAAAGGCAGAGTTATAAGTGGGTGTGTGTGCTTAGGTGTGTGTTTGTCAGTCTGTACCACCATGCAATGCTGGATTACCAACCAGGCGAAACCGGCAACTGTCAAGCAGCAGAACACCAGGTGCCACATAAACTGCAGGCTAACTGTTAGTCAGCTGGTTTTGCATATGATCATTTGGTTTGGATTGTGCATCGTTAAAGCGGTACCATCTAACATGATGTCTCAAGGTGGCTCCTGCTATTACCAGACCTAGAGGCGCAATCTTTAGGAGGGCCAATATGCCAGAAGGTTTCAGACTTTCACTTTTTGAGTTTTGTGCTTCATCAAACTTTATTAAACAGTAGGCACTAGGCAGTAAGGAGAGTATGTACGCAATGTATATTTTCTATGGAAGTATGCTATGTAACCGGGCTGTTATTAAGCAATGTTGTATGGTTAACATGTTTATCAATTTAGCCATTGATAGCTAACTAACCGGATGTGATAAAAATGGGCGGGGCAGCATAAAATAAATAGGGGCCCAGGGTCCAGCAGATCAATTTTGCCCTGGGGCGCAAAGGCAGGATTATCTGGCCCTGCCCCCATGGTTGTTCACACTGCTGAGAGGTCTTTGTTTAGAACAATGTGAATCCACAGCCGAGCAGAAGGCAACAATAACACAGCCAGTGAATAACAATGTGCATCAACATCCACACAAAAGAAACAAATTAGTCAACATTCAAACAACAGAAAACAACAACATTTAAAGCATATCATACAAACATAATGTTGATGTCCATCAATGCATGTATTCAAAAATAGAGGTAGAAGAAATACTCAGATATTGTACTTAAGTAAAAGTAGAAGTACCAGATTGTGTGAATACTCAGTTAGTAAAAGTCCTGCATTCACAATGTTACTCAAGTAAGAGTACACAAGTATTGCCATCAAAATATACTTAAAGTACCAAAAGTAAAAATACTCATTATGCAAATTGGACCATTTCAGAATAATATGTTATATGTTTTGATTATAAATACTGATGCTTATTTAATGAATCAAAATTTGCAAAACAACTAAAGATATTAAATAAATGTAGTGGAGTAAAAGAACAGTATTAAACTTTGAATTGTAGTGGGGTAGAAGAACAAAGTAGCAAACAAATTGAAATACTCAAGTTAAGTACAAATCCCTCGAAATTATACTACAGTACTTTAGTAAATGTAGCCTAGTTACTTCCCACCTCTGATCATAGATTTTGATTATAATTATTGATGCATTAATGTGTCTATAAAAGCTGGTAAAGGTGCATTATTTTAATCCCTTTGTATTCTGCAGGGTAGCTGGTGGATTTACTCCAGGTGTAACTAAAGTATTTTACTGTTGCCTAGCAGATATTTCACATTATTAATCAATATCTGAAATTGAAAGTAATGAAATACATTGAAACACATTGACACATTCAAATAGTCTATTCAAGTAAAGTACAAATCCCTCAAGAATGTTAATCAAGTAGGCTACAGTAGTTGAGTAAATGTACGTAGTTACTTTACACCACTGCAATTAAATAATCTCCGAGACAAACTATACCTGTCTGCTCTCCTCTCATCTAACCGCCGTTGCCAAGGTTTCCGTGTACGCGCTGCTGAGAGCGGAGCCGCGCGGTTGTCATACAGTATTGCCAGACATGGCGGCGGACCTACAACCCGAGTGGATTTTGTGCCTCCCGTCTTCCTGGAGTTATGGGGTTACTCGTGATGGACGTGTCTTCTTCATTAAGTAACTATCCCTTCATAGACTCAACTAATGTCCACCCGTTTTCGAAAAAAGTCTCCGTGTATTAATAAACGCCTTGCTTTGCCCCTCTCTCTCAACAGCGAAGAAGCCAAGAGTACAACCTGGCTGCATCCAGTGAGTGGCGAGGCGGTAATAACCGGCCACAGGAAAACTCCAGGTGAGGAGTCACTGAACGCCTGTCAAGTTTCTGTATTGTGTGTAACATGTCCGCCGTCATGTGTTGTTGTGGAGCGTAACCCCACACCGACACTTCCCACACTGGGAGATAGGGAGATACGGTGACATGCTTGCTGCGTGTTTGAATGCACTAGTGTTTTTTTTTTGTGTGCTGTGAAAAGTGAGCCCACCAGTGCCCACCTCTGCCCTGCTCGTGCCACTTAGTCGTGAGCCTTTAGTCTATTTTTCTTGTTAAGTTGACGAGTGGTGGACGTTAAGCGTGAAGTCTTAAAACCACGACTTTTACGAACAACTAGCATGTAAATTAATTTCGGAAGCATTTTATTTAAGGTTCGACGTTTCCTGTTTACCATATAACGTCAGCCCTAAACATATGTACGCTTCAAAGACACACAGTTTGACAGGAATGACAGCAACAGGAGTTTGAATTGTAATGTTAGTTGTACATTTACACTAAGCTTCCACCACTCCAGAAAGCTCTTGACCAATATTATACGCAGTGTGCTATAAGGACATAACTAGCTCCTTGCAATGTGTCTCACTGGTTGAATCACCATGCAGCCTCCTTATAACCATCAGTCTCTGCAGAGCTTTCCCACTAATGTTATTAAGTGGCTGCTGCATCCAAGTAGGTCTGCAACTAACGATTTGTTCCTCGATGAATCACCAAAGTCTATACAAATGTCAGAATAGTGAAAAATGACCATCAGAATTTCCCACAGTCCAAAGTATTTAGAGCTGAAAAAAATTGCTTGACTTATTGATTAATCGATGGCCACAACATTTGCAAATATTATGATAATATCTTAATGGTTAGAGTACAATTTCAGTAGAAAATACAGATATTTAGCAAATCCAGTTGTGACAATATATTGCTTTTATTTACCTTTGTGATGGAACAGTATTTTTTTTCTTATATTTTAATAAATGAATCGTTTCAGCTCTAAATCTAAGCGTGTGAATAAACAGCTGCTAGTGCATAGCCCTAGCTGCTTTAATACACACAACATCTGTTTGTTTCACCAGTTTATGTTAAAATGTTTTTGTCCACATCTCTCTCTTTTACAGACCTACCGACTGGATGGGAAGAAGGATATACTTTCGAGGGTGCGCGGTGCTTTATCAAGTGAGTTAAAACCCTCCCTCCACATGACACACCCACCATGACATCAGAACATGCAGACAAATATCTGACCAGGCCATATCAACTCAAGGCACTTCCTCTTTTCATGTCACCATAATTGCAGCATGCCCTAATTATAAACATTGGTGATTTGTTTATCACCTCAGATAAATGAAAACCCCCTCGTGACTTCTCCTGAAAACATCCATTGTATTATTAGTAAACTTTTCAAGGCTGCACATTTGGAACCTTTACTCACAATTTCTGTACTGTAGAAAGCCTACCCCTAAAGTTAATGATTAAACTGGGACGTTGTGCAAATACTAGATAAAGTGGGAAAAGTGTGGTAGCTGTCTTCTTGTGAGCTGTTTTTATTTATTCAGACTTACCTTGCTCAGAGCTAAGCCTACTTGGAGAGTTGAGCCAAAGTACAACGTGTTCTCGTTTTCTGACATTTATTAATCCGCTAGAAAACATGGGTTATCCTCATTGTTTGGGTTTATAGAGTTAGCTCGCAGTTTAAAATGACAACTTGTTTTAAGTAGATGTTGGAAAATATTCTGTAGGTACATGCCAACCTACGGTATTATAGGACATTAAAAAAAAGACTTCCTATTTAAATTCTCCCTGTATTGGTTTTGTTTGAACCTCCTATCCAGAGTACACGCTCATTTGTTGGTGCTATGTGTGCGGGAGGACATTTCATATATCTTCCATGTCCGTGAAAGCACTTTGATTTGTTCAGTTTATGTTCCTTTTGAAAACCAGGATCCACAAGATTTACATTCGTAGTTGGCTATGTTACAAAGTCCCTAACTAGAGTACATTTCATATTTTCCCCTCCATGATTGCCGGAAGCATTCGTCTGATCAAAAGAGATCTCAAGCGCTGTCATTCAGTCGTCACTGATTCATCATCTGAATGTTTTATGTCCAAGGATGTAGCTTTAAATGCTGTGTTATTATGTACGTCCCATCGAAATACCCCTCATATTCAGCACTTAGAGATACCGTATGCTGCAAATGGATTCCTCTGTCAGAACACAAGGATGCGTATGATTGAAGACATTGCAATATACAGGCTACACATGTAGGATATTGTGTCTTATTATCCTCAGTGAATTCTCTCTCAGTCTTCGACTTCCTTGTGAATTTGAGTAGCTTCATGTGGCAGGTTGCCAGGCAGTCGACTGAAAAGCAGTACTTTTATATCCCAGTGTTTTATCACAGCGCCTCCGTGCAAAACAGAATCAGGGACAACATTCATTAGTCTATCAATGGGATCCTGGAACAAACAGTGATGACAAAGAAGTGCAGACTAATCGTTATGAAAAAAACTGTTAAACTGCATGCATTAGCTACATTTCAGACAGAGTTTTCATTTGAATTCAGCTGTTTTGTCCTTAAAAGCTGCAGAAGAGATTGCTGCTTTTTTTGTATGACTTCCTTTGCTCTTCTACATGTTCCTTAGCTGTCAACAGAGGTCACCGTGCTGTGTGCAAAATACAAGATACACTTTATGTACACAGGTTTCACAGAGGATTCAGAGAGTATAGACTGTGGGGCTTAAGGAGATACACGGACAGATAAGATCATTTTATTGGTTCAAAACTTTATTATTTCACCACTTAATATATGCATATAATCTAATACAGCCTATTTGTTATGTATTAGCTCAGATGATGACAGTGAACCTAATATCATACTGTGCAATTACAACAATTTTAAATCGGCTTCAGTCATCTTGATAGCAATAGAAAGCTTAGTGATTCTTTAACAAACTAGATTGGACAATTTACAGCAACCATGTGTTCGCTGATGCACCTGTGCTCAGTGGTTGTATTCGTTTTTTCTTCAATGATTTGAAGCAGGTGAACAGAATGGAATCCTTTAGTAACTTGTTTTTCCGACCAGTACAATGGCAGTTGGCTAGTAAGATACCAAAGCACAGAGAAACAGCCTCAGGATATATCCCTGTTATGACCTTTAATGAAACAGTTAAAAATGCATTAGACCTTCTTGTGTTCCCCTCTGTCATTCATTAGCGGTGCATGTCACATACCTATAATAGCTGTCATTTGTTTTTGAACACTACACAAAAGGGATTAACTGAAAGCTAAACTGTGAGCACGACAAATTAAGTGTAAACTTATTTTACATAGCCCGTATATAAAAAATGTTTGCGGGCCCGCAGAAAATACTAGAAGGCATACGACATACTCCACTGCGTGCTAAGTGGGGAAATCTAAGCTGATGCAGATTTTGTGGGTGCAATACAGATAATTGGCCCACATGTGACAGAGGCTTTGTTTGGACTGCTTTAGTGACACTCATTTTCCCAGGCTGTGTACTGGGACTAACCCATGCGCTTCCTCTTTGTTGTTTACTTGACAAAAGCTTTCAGAATTCCAGTTGCATGGTCACTGCTGTGTGCATGTGTATTGTGTCATTGAGCTGGCGGATAAACAAGTTTTGTCAAATCAAGGAAACAGCTCAATTTGTCAGTATTTAGTGATGAAGATAACTTGAGTAAGTGGCCTATGAAAAACCATGCCTGGTCATTTGCTTGTGACTCATTCCTTTGACATAGAGATTTGTTGACAAGTTTATGTGATAACAGTCTTGGACAGTACTTGGGATATTTTAAGGCTTTATGTGAGGTTGCCAATAAAAGACTCGTTCCTAAGCCATTAGCCTGATGGAAGCTGGATACATATATGCTGTATGTTATACAGTAGGATATCATTATGTTGTCCTCAATTTGGTATTGTTTATAATTAGTTCAGTTTTTGCATTTTGAATGTTCATAAAAAAAGGCCTAGTTTAAACACAAAAAACCCTCTCCTCTTGTTGTCAGACCTACTGTATATACGTTGAACGCTTGATCATCGATACATTTCTATGACTCAGGTCTGTTTGGAGCCTGCAAAGGGGGCTGGCCCATTCCCATTGGCTGTGTGGCTTGGCTGCTACCATCGGGTTACACAGCGTGAGCATGGAGAAACAGATTGTGCTGACGTAGCCTCCTCTGACGCGATGTGTTTGGACGGATGGAAGGTGCTTCTTGTTGGTGTGATAGTGTTTACCAGAGGCATCAGAAGATTTGATTATTTTATGGCACTGTGAGTTTTGAATGAGTGAAGGTCAGCGCAGATGGTAATTGAATCAGTCGTGGCTTATTGCTCTCCTCAGACAGAGCACTCTCTTTTGAGTTGCTGTGTTTTTTTTCACGTGGACCAATGCCAACACGACTCTTTAGTTCGGGGAACTAGGCTCTGTGTCAATTGGACAGTACTTGCTTTACAACCAACAGAGTGAGATAATGAGGAGGTGCAAATGTGCAAACCATTAGCCTCTTTATTTAATTCACAGACAGACATATAATTAAAGCCATTGTGTTGAAGCTGTGACTAATGAAAAAAGGGCATGCTTTTTAAAACTTGAGCTGCCTGCTGCATCTGCTCAACTATTATTTTCTTTTCAATGGGGCTTGTTTGTTTTGTCTGAAGAACACATACCAATAAAATACATCTACTTTGGCTCATTGAGGAGAGGTCAATAGCAGCCACCCATTAGTCATATTCAATTCAACTTTTCCAGCCAGGAGCTTTTGGTCCTGCTCTCACAACTGCGTTCAGATATCAGAGAACACTTATTTCCATCAAGCCATTCTACCGCTGCTGAGAATAATCCGACACATCCGAGTAACTCTTTCCCCTTTAGATGAACCCGCTTGTTATTCGGTACCTTTTGTCCAGAGCTGGGAGGCTTATCTCTTATCGAACTATACATCTGTGCATTGAACCACAGCTGGGCTCTCTGATGCTGAAGACATCATAGATATGGACATACTGTATGCTGCATACGCTCTATGAAGCATGCTATACAGTAGGGCTGCTCGATTATGGCAAAAAATCTTGATTATTTGGCTCAATAATTGATATCACGATTATTAAAAACTATTTACTTGGAAAACATCCATTTATTGAAAACAAATGTGAATAGTATGTTTTTAACAGTTGATTACCCTGAACTTTAACTATAATTGAACTGAAAAACCAATAAATAAAAAATAATAATAAAAAAATAAAAATAATAATAATCGTTTTATTTCGATTATGTTGTTTTCATAATCGTTGGTAGCCAAAATCGTAATTGCGATTAAAATATGATTAATTGAGCAGCCCTACTATACAGAGAGTCATTTCATTTTCATGAAATTTCCTCTGTATGCCCTTCCTGGGTCAACAGCACTCTAAAGCCACCCAGAGTGCAGTTTCGGGTCAGTCTGTTTTTGATGTGACGAAAGCAGGGTTTTGATGAGTGTGCCATCTGGCAGATTTGTGTTTTCTATTTTATCTCTGTAACACATAATCCCACATTTTAACTTAAGCTTCATTTTGAGCAAGACAGGGGACATGATTTGGGCAATTGAAGGAGCGTTTGGTTAAAATGTTTGTCTGTCACTGTGTGCTAATGAGTGCTGCTGACCTGTGACGACCTCTCAGAAGTGTTTATCAGGTAAATGGGGGGGACGTCAGTTTCCCACAAGGCTTCATAATATTTTGGTAGGGGAGTGATGACCATGATTACAACATCGATTACAATCGTTGCCTCATGGATGCATGAACTGTTTACAGCAATTATTTATGAATAGACAGGTGCAGATCTCATAAGGCCTTCCTCTCCTTGTTTGCTATTCGTGTCTCATCTAGTCTGTCTGTAAAAGGAGGTGAACTGCTGAAGTCAGGGCTAACTGATGTAGGTTACACAATGACATAGCTGAAGCCTTTTTAAGAGAATAATGAGTGCGTAATAAATACAGTGGCATACTCAATGGCTAAAGTCTTGCTTTATTGCTGCCCAGTTATTAATGATCCATTTGCTAGCATTATGTTAATGAATGTTGAGGGCAATGAACCGCTTCCAATCATCATTATAAAGTGCAACTAGAAACATCAATATTGTACTAATCTGCTCTCAACCTCCACTTTCATTCAGATG